TTTCCCAAAAGCACGCAGAAGTCCAGGGCCTCGAAGGAAGGTGGATCCCAAATCATCTGCTGTGGGCCTTATCCGAGAGGATGGAGAGAAGCCCGACTCGTGTTGGAGTACAATCTACAATGGAAAGGTCTTCAGCTTTTTTCCATCTAGACGAGTTCCTTCCAGCACAATGATGCACAAACACTGTTTTTGTGTGAAACTAATACATAATTTGTACTTTGTAAGAAGAGCCACTTAAAAGCCAAGTGAATCCCAATTGTTACTGAGATGTATCACTGCATCAGTGTTAAGCTTTGTGGTCTTGTGCCTGAAATCCCTTAGGAGGCGATGTCTGTCTTTCTGGGCTATAATTCTACCAGAATAAAAGGGAACACACTACCCCTTCATAGTCAGGAATAAACAATTAGACTTCAACCTAATTAATACTGACAACTTTCTTTAGCTATGCAGTTTATAATCATCATAGAAGCAAGCTGCTCAGCACTTCCTAGAAGAAAGAATACTCTTCTAGGCTAGCTACTTGCAATATTTTCTGAAATAAAAGTCAGCATACCACTTGATGGTCTTCAACCTCGGACAAGGATTTGTTTTAATTCTTTTCTAAAACTCAGTGTTTATTAGATTGCAAAATCTACCTTTCAAATCTGGTTAACATTTTAGCGTGAAGTATCTTTACAAAAATATGTTTAAAATCTCAAGGTAAACACTGATGTGCCTTTTGAACAACTATTAACATTGCTTTCCTTGTTAGGAGCAAGAAACATCTCTTTTTCCCACATTAAATAAGGGGACTGGATATTAACACTTCTTCCTGATACAATCTGAATAGGGAGCCTCTGAACCTAGCAGGATACTGCATCCTATGTATTTTTTAAAGCTTAGTGCAGCATGAGATTTCTTAACCAAAATGTATAATGGGAAATAAAAACAAACCTTTTGGTAGTTTAAGATTTGTCTCCTTTAAATTGAAAATAAGATAAATTGCAAAAGAAAGGAGAATTAAGTCTGGGTATCCAGTACAGCAGAACCATACAGAAATACGGAACTTCTCCTGTGTAGCTTACGAGTTTAGTTTGGAAAGAACTTTAGCACTTATACAATCTGTGCAGGAGGAACAAAGCTCTCTTGGACTGATATCAATTTCTATGAGCTTTGCAACAAACCCCACACACTGCTCACGTTCCAGCCTTCTCTGAATTTCCCATTTGTTAGCTTGCTTTTTTAGCTGGCTACATATTCTCTGAAAAAAAAAAAAAAGTGACTACAAGCATATTCAATAACAGAATCAAGAACTCATTCCATTCTGTTATCTACTTACATTTTATTAACAGCCTAATATGAAATCATGTCATATTCATATTAGAATTAATTACTTGTGAGCAAACTTAAACCAGTCTTGAATGTCTATATTTATTGCAAGCAGATTCATGTCTCCTGCTTATATGTTCTACATAAGGATCCAAAATGTGACTGAATATAAACAAGTTACATTTGGTTATCTACAGCAATCAGAGTTAAAAATAGCACTGAAAAGAAACTTTACAGTAATATATTCACACACTGACTCTTCAAATCAAATAAATGAAGTGGTATAGGATAATCTAAACATTAGATTTGAAGGCTGATTTATTTTCAAATAAATGTACCTAGAATTGTACAATTAAAAATAACTATCAGTATTTGGTGCTGATGACTACAGACAACTTTAATGTTTAATGCACAGATAACTACCCCCCAGCCCCTATACAGCAACTTTCATAGATTCTACTTTACATTAGATCATGAAAGAACATTTAAAATGCAATGTGTACACAGCACTGAATTTATGTCAGAGACAATGCAGATTAAAATTCAGTGACTTTTCATAAGGTAAAAAATTAAAGCTATATAAACTGATTTTTAGATTTTTCTGCAAAGTAGAATCACATACTTTTTCACTTTCATTAATACTTTCACAAATTTCCATTAAAGCTTTTTTAACAGAGACAGTAGCATGAGCACAATGATCCCACTGGCTTCCAAAAGAAAAGTAGTGCAGTTGCTCAATTGAGCTATTTTTTCCTTTTACATTTGTAAGCCAGTTGGGTCAAGACAACCAGGCTAATGCAAGCACAAAAGTAAACTGTAAGTTCTTACATTAAGTGGCTGAACAAACAATTATTGTACATGGTGAAACAAAAAAAGATCTTGTTGCCACAAGCCACTGCAGGAATATATGAACTTCAGTGGCCGAAAAGCTTGAAATACTTTCTAAGTCTTCACATACATTTGGTTAGCGCTTACCAGTTTCAAGACATTTATAGAAGCAGTTATGGAGACACTATGCTGTTAAAGCTGCAACAATTTAAACAAGGCAAGTTAGGAAGTTATATAGATTTTTATACTTTTCCCCCCCTTTTTTTTTTTTAATACATAAAAATCTGTCTCCTTTCAGTGTCCCATCCATAATAAAACATTCTAATTCATTTTGACCTAACTTTTCCTTTTTCGTCTTGGTATTGTCTGATCCATTTTACCACCCAACTCCAAGTTAATGCCTGCTGCAGTGGACTAGGTTTGCATGGCAATCGTAACAGCAACTGAAGCAAAAGCACATCAAGTGAAACCGAGTTGAGTTACATGTTTTTTCCATTAAACAGTCTATTGTAACAAGCAAACTACCAACTTTTAAAGGTAAAAGTATTGCTAAATCAAAGCAGAAACTTCCACTTAAATTCAAGCATTCTTTCTCTTCCAAAAAATGACATTTAACTAAAGCCTTTCCCAAGCACTTATATAGGTGTTTCAGCCCGAATAACACTGTCAAGAATGTCTAAGTGCAGGGCTACATGAAGTTTGCAATGAACTGCTTTGTTAATAGGCAGAACAGGAATGCAGCAGTTTCAAAAACATCAAGCAAAAATGTCTTTATTTAAGGCTAAAAGATAGAACTCAGAAAAGTAAAAAAGCAGGAGGCTTTATAGAGTAAAAAAGCTAGCAGTAATAGTACAGCACTGAAAGTATAGTGCTCTAATCGCCGCTATCACAAATACCAACAAAAAAAATCAAGTTTGGGTGAGACTGAGAGAGCAATAAACCTATATTTCTAATTTAACATTCATTAGAATTTTAACATTCAGCCACAACTCCACTCTAAGCTAAATTTAAGTGACCAAAACTCATAGGTATAAAAAAGCCTTCAAAACATATACTTAAAAAAAATAGAAATGGTGTGTTAACAAATGTATGCGTAAAACAGATTTATAAATAGCTACAGTATGAAAAATATTTCAGTGCAAAGGCAATTTTAAGATTTCTAAAAAATACATTACAAATAATTTGTTAACTACACACAAGAAATTTGTCACTGCTACTGGTATAAAATTTATACCCATATTAACTTTTTAAAAATATATACACCAGTGTTTTATGTAGGGGACGGATCTAACTGACCAACATTCAAGTCTGCAATGGCAAGTATATGTACACACACCCACACACACATGTATGTATGTCAAAATGTTGCTCCTATGAGGACATTCTTTGAAACTTAAAAGTGCTACATGTTAAATGATAAAAATACCTTCATCTGTGGTGCTCACTGTGATTAGACTTGTAAAAATTCTCTTATCTTTGGTATATTGAAAATTTCACAACTCACTTTACAATCTCTGCTTGTCCCAGGGCATTTTAATAACATTTCACTGTTTGTTTAATGTGAAAATCACTCAGAATATTGTGAGGAACATTTCCCAGTTAAGTTGATTTTTTTTTTTTTAAATAAAAAGTAAACTAGTAAGTAAACTATTTTGCCTCTTTTTTTTTTTTTTTTTTTAACACAAAAAGGGAAACAATTTTTTCTCTGCCACCATTCTGTCCATTTGAAAGGCAACTAACAATGTCTTGGCCAGGTCTTACAATAAAGGCTGCAGCTCTGATTCCAAATACTTTGTTTTCACATTGAAATATATTTTTAGCTAATGACCTCCCAGAGGTAATGACTATGGTTATTAACCAGTTCTAACCACCAGGCTGAAATTGACTGAAATCAGATAACTCCTTCAGATATTTTTGCACCCCAAAATAAAACACTGGACTAAAGAAACAAGGACACAACTCATAGTTGAATTAGTTCAAGGTAACATAAATGTAGCAAAGAGAAGCGCAAGTTGGCTGTCATTCTTAAAGTAATTCAAAAAGAACCCTTGCAGTCAAACTAATTTCTGTATCGCAACTACAGTTCAACTGTTAGTAAACTACCACGTGCAACCTCATGGTTTGCCTGCGAAAGTCAACCGTTGTGCGCTTTGCAATACATCTACCAAGCTGATTAGCCAGTATTTAACCATACACACACACAAAAAAAAAATTAAGAGGGTGAATCCAGATAATGTAAGATGCTTATTTGGAAAAACAGCCTTTCTTCTTTCAAGGAAAAAAATAGTGTCAAAAAAGCTTAATACTTTCTGCTATGCATATTTTACAATCACAGGGATGGGAAGTGGGAACACTGGGTAAAATCTGCATCTTTGAAAAATTCACAAAGACCTTTCAGGCAAAATGCTTACATTCAGTTTTTCAGTATATATCAACATGGATGATATTTACCTATTTAACAGCCAACTTGACTTCATATAGCATGTACGTACTCTACACAAGGATTGTTTTGCCTATCTTTCTACGGGGGGGGAAGCTAACTGAAAACAATAGCCCTGATTTGGCCACTTACAAGGAAGTGAACATTAGGGAGTGTTTCTTGAAAGCAGATTTGCACAGAGGAAACACCAGTTTGTTCTACAGAAGGAGCAAAGAAAGAAAAAGGACAGAGGAAAATCAGAAACAGCACTTGTTAATTATGCGTCAGGAGACTTTCACTGGAGATAACTGAGGTCATTGCTTCTGGCTGAAAACTAAAACTGTTGATCTCATAATGTAAGTCACTGACTGAACCTATACATTTAAAAGTAACAAAGAAAATGACTAAAGATAAATGCACCTAAGTCTTGACACAGGATGAAGACAATTTTTAGTGCTACCAGTCTCACAGTACCAGACTGTGCAGATTGTTCATTGCTCCAGTAGTTCAAAACATAAAAAGAGGCCTATTGGCCTGGAAGGGTTTATACTTCTAGCTCTTGATCCTGTTTGTCTGAACATTACCTCAGACAGCAAAAGCCACGTATAGTTTAACATACTTCTGTGACATGTTTGTTTCCTGAAAAAAAGAAATAAACAAAATACAGTTTTTAAAGGCTTGACTTGGTGTTCTGTCATACAGACGTTTCCAAACCTGACCCACTGTAGCGGTAGCCTGCACTGGAACGGCAATGCTTATTTGAATAGCCAAAGACAGATGGAAGTACTGAATAATCAATGCCTCTCCAGTGCGTAAACATCATTTTTTTAGAACGAGAATTAGACCTTCTTGGAGAATTGCTGCAGTCACTGCTCCTGTATCTTGGGCTTTTCAGACAGGCAAGAGGTGTGAATTCTGAGATGTGCTCCCGACAGTGCCTCGATGCATTCTGTTAAAGGAAAAAGAACAAATACATAGTAAATAGATTATTTTGGTGCTAAAAGTCTACAGTTGTGTTCTTTCATAGGGCCATTGTGCCCTTGGCATAGTAATGCCTTTCACTAGATTACCACTCTGGTTATTTGTCTCATATAAAGGTACAAACCCTCATGTTACTGAGCAATCAACCACTTTCAACATGATTAGTTTCATATTAAGATCTACAGAACCAGGCATAATTTTACATATAATGTCTAAACCTGATAAGGGGCTCTTTAGAAAAGAGGTGAGTACACAGAGGACTGCTTTCAAGTTGAATTGTTTTAAATCAGGTTTATATTTCATTCTCCTGGTATACCTTTTTTTCTCTGAACTTTTTTAGTCAGGATTTCTTATACAGAATTTTAAGACACAACAGATTGAAGTACTCCATCCTGTGCTTCCAAAGAGAGGGAATTCTTTAGCTGGTTCATGCTAATAGATCAAAGTTCCAGAGGGTTAATGCACTTGCTTTGTACTTCTAAGCAGTATCTTATTTTGGGCTTGCTTAGGTTACATGTAGCATCTATACAAGCAATTTACAGTATACATCACAATACCATGTTGGTCTAATTGTCCATTAAAATTTATCTGTACCACATCATCACTGCACACTCTGGCAGAATCAGCATTTCCACTCAGGAAATACTCAGGGCTACAGTAACACCATGGCTGCAGGACAACACCCTGGAACATGTGCACAAACTGAAAGAAAATTAGCACAGCACTTTCCCCAACGAGTTCATCTAATTCTTCTCACTAAACACACATACGATTTCCAGGTGTAGAGGTATGGAGGTTACGTGATGGTATTTAAGATAACATCCTTTCCAACCCTAGCCATTCTATGATTCTATATAAATGCATTATAAGCATGATTCAAATCAATGTTATCACTCTCTCCATGAATGCTATATAAGCCCGTTAATCCTCTGTTCTTAATTATCCTCTTCCTCCTTCCCTGTTAACAGCAACACAGTAGCAAAAGAGACAAAGTCACAAAATAAATATTAACGATGTAGTTTATAGAACTTTGGCTGAGATTTAATATTACACTTTTAATGTCAATCACAAGCTTGAAAGACTACTCTTGTATAACCAAGAGCAATCAGAAAGCTCTCTTACAACAGTTACTCTTGGAAAAGTCAGCAAACTAACAATGAGACTTGGGTTCTTTTAAACACATATATAGACCAAATACCAAGATTAATACAGAAAAAATTAGATACCCAGGTAACAGATTAGCAGACTTTGTTTCTGAAATGTTGGAGGGAGTAGTCATACACTGTATGGTAACTTTTTCCTATTCTTCCTGCTAGAAAGTAGAGCATTTTATTTACCATACATATTTCTAAAATTAAATCATGATTTTTTCTACACATAGCTCCAAGGCAAGCACTTTCAATCTGCCATGCCTGAAGCTACTCAAGAAAGCTGGGGTTTTCTACTGCTACTTGTCTAGCAGTCATTAAAAGTAAATCAAATCTTCACTTTGCACCTTCACTTAGCTCCTTGTATTGCTTTTTGGGTCAGGAGAGCATGAAGGGACTGGAGCAGATACGGCATCCAGAAAGGAATGTATTTGAGTAAAAAGTGTACCTTTTCACTTATACTTGTTCATGTAATCAGTGGCGTGGCAAGGAGATTATGTAAAGCAGAGAACTTCGCTCTGCTGCCCTAATGTTTGGAGCATTTAGGAGCTCACCACTCATTCTGCTGTCTCAGGTGTTTGGCAAGGCTACCACACTTCCTGAGGCAGCAATGCAGCACTGCACTGGCCTATACAGAACACATTACTATGGTAGATACTGTCAGATGCACAGCCCCAGTCTCCTGACCCAAGGCCCTATCCACAAGTAACTCACTTCCTTTTGTATGGTTATCTTCCTGTTTCACTGTCTGCATTTGGTCTATATATGTATTCAAGAGCACGAGAGATGATGGATAAACTGCTAATGTGTGAGAATTACTTCTGACTTTATGTATTCTATACCATGGTGTAATGCGAGTACACTCTGCAACACTGACTGCAGTTCTTACAGAAGAAATGTCACACTGCACCTATACATAACACAATGTATTTATAGGACTTTAATATGGGTATATTGATACAATTTTTTTGCCTTACATGAGTGTCTGAGACAAAAAGATCTTACCTGTGGCTGGAACATTCTTGCAAAAAATAGGCTCTCCAAGTAAAACAATTATTTTGTATCAATATTGATAAAGTACATCAAAAACTCTGGAGGAAACAGTTGATTTGTAAATAGCACAGTTTACCAATAGAAATTAATCCAAATTGGCAACACGTACAGTACTGTTACCTAGCTTTGATCTAATTATGGCTTGGAAGCTGAAAGATTTCCTTCAAGAAGTGGCCCATCGCTGTTCGGCAGTGCATTTAGGGCTGTTTTATGTCTCATACTCTTCTGCAAGGATGAGGAAAAACAGTGAGACTCTTGCTGAATACAAGAGGGAAATGTGAATGATTTGTACCACTTGGTACAAACGTTAACTATTATAGCAAAGTCCTGTAAAAGTGACCCATTTTCTGACAGACTGAAAAAGGAAAGGTTATCCAGTGTAAAACATGGTTTCTATTTCTTGATCCTGAGCGTAATCCTTTGAGCCACTCTGAGGATGTTTTTCATTCCATTTCAAACTCTATTAAAAATACTTAATTACTCAAGAGCACTTAACTGTACCACTACTAAGTACTGTGGGCTGTGTGTCCTACCCCTCTGACAATAACCTGTACTGAATGGGTGAGGTCCCCATGATATGACCAGGCCACATCGATTCCAAGTTAAGGAGCGAACGTCCCGCTTCGCTACTCCCCAGAACAAGTGGAACACTGAAGGGAGTGCTACACACGGAGGTGATGGGGCCAGTGCCAATGAAGGCTGACTTACAGCTCAGTCATTACACCACGGGGAGAGAGGGCAGGGCAGTTACCAAGGTAACTTCTTCCATGGGATTCCAATATTGCAACAGCAAGATCCATTTCTTTGTTTTCCATAGAAGAGGAGCCCAACACATGACAGAGGCAAGTTTGCCGGTGACCAGTTTTCTAAGAGCACTGTGCAGTTGTTCAACAGCAGCTAAGCCCATTGAGGAACAGAAGAGTGATGAATCCCCAGAGAGGCTTCCCCAGGCAAAAGTACCACTTTGGTTTCCCCAAGCGCAGCAAAGAGTAGAGATCTCATAACGAGGCTGATGGGCCGATCTTGTGACTGAAGTGAAAGTGAAGTAAAAAACCATCAGTCAGAAGAGAAGAGAACAAGAAAAATATTTCTTAGAAAGGGATGAAAGCACAGAAGTTATTTACAGCCCAGAATAAAAAAACCTGACATTTCAACTAGAAAATATTTGTGATTGATGAAACATTGTCAATCAAAGTGACAACTATAAAAATTAAGAGGATAATATAAAGTGAATTTATATTTTCCATAACAGAGCTGCCGAGCTTCTGCTATTAATGAAAGAATAATAAAGGAAATATAATCAATTAATGTAAACTGGATACATTAAAAAAATATCCTATTCCTTTTTAAAAGTAAAGGCCGAAACAATTTCCAGTTAAAGCACAAAATTCATCTTGTTTCATTGAGCCAAAGAGTCACTGGGACCACATGTACAAGAAATGAGCAGATTTTGACCGAAATTACCAAAAGGCAACAGATTCCTCCAAAGCTTTTGCAGAATTTTGCAGAAAGACAACAGTTCATACATAGATATATATATAAATATACATGCAGATATATATATATACTTGCATGTACATATATGTATGTGTGTATCCACATATATATATGTCTCTCTGTGTGTGTACATATATATATATCTCACTGAAAACCTATCAAAAAATCTTAGAATTATATATGGAATGTTTAAAAACCTCTGAATAATAATGATAGTAGACAATCACCCAGCACACACTGGAGTGACTTTTAAATAACTGAAAAATCTAAAAGCATAAGAATTGCTTCAAAGCCTTTATGCGATATTATTGCCAGAGGAGAACGAATTTAGTAACCTGGGAGGTGACTGCTAGTCCTATGTTAATCTCTTCAACTGTTTCATAAGCCCTTTTATTACCAAGAAAGCAATATAGCTTATAGGAATGCAGAAAGTTTAAAAATAATTTTTTAAAAGCTCAGTTCAAACCAATCCTAATGTACTTAAAACCCAATCTTACCCAGAATTTTCAATAGTGGAAAAAAACTTTGTGTATTTTCCCTGTGACATGCAATTACAGTCTATACATTTTTGAAGGGGGAAAAAAAGGAGGAAAGGTATTTTCTATTTTAACCGGTTAAGAAATAAAGATATAAAATCTGCAATGGAAAGCAACAGTCTCCTAGTATTAAGTCAAAAATAGTTTTCTTGCAGACTGCGGGGAAGCCAAGCATTACTAGCATTTCTTCTACTTTCGTATTATATTAAATGTTATACTTCTGGATCTTGACCTGTTTTCTTTCTAGAAAGAACACAGAATTTCATAAAATGGAATATAAGGAAAGCAGAGCTTCAAAATACATGCTGTAAATAACTTATTAATAAAAAAGTTGCATTTTCTTCTATCACAGCAGAGCTGATGTATTAATATATTCCAAAGATTGCTTAAATGGCTTCCAGTATCACATTTTCTGTATGACACTAGTAACATCAGCATAATCAGAATTATCATTTCTTTGTGTGGCAACTATTCTATTTACTCAGGTACAATGCAATCATGACATGCATTCACCTACAGATAGACCAATGATTAAAATGGGGATCTAAGAATCCTAGATTCTTGAGACAGAAACATTATGGAAAATTCAGTAACAATGGTGATTAAAATGATAGTGACAGTGAAAGACTGTGAGAATGATTCATAGAATCTTTGAGGTAAACAAACACAAGAAGGAAAAAACTATACTAAAAAGTAATCTTCAAAATATAGTTGACATGAATCAGAAATGGAGATAACAAGTATGGTAAAGAACTTCTGATGAAAAACTTTTTACTGTCCTTTGAATGAAATGGCCAAGCATGCAGAAAGGCAGAAAAAAGTCACCTTTTGTTCCTTTAGAAACTTAGACTGCTCGAAGTCTGAGAAAGCATAAAGATGGTGGACTGCTCAACAGAAAGGCACTGATGTTTAGTCTGATTTCCCCAGAAGATTGTAGGAAGTAACCGTGCACATCGTTTATGTTTAAAACAAGGTAGCAGTTATTTAGACAAAGTGGAAGACAGCAAGAAACAAAGAAAGGGAAGAAGAAACACAAGGGATATATCTGGTTAAAAGTCAAAGATTTTCTACTAAATATTTTAAAATTAATATTGCCAGTGTTAAACCTAAAGTCTGCCTTATAATTGATTCATTCTCCAGCACTAATATACAATGTCTGTAAGAAATGCTGTAATACCTTTGTTTGGGGCTTTTGTTTGCTAGCTTTTTTCTTTGCATTAACTCATCCTCATTCTCTCTCTTTAGACTTTTAAATTAAGCATGCAGAACCTATACTGAGATCAACTTCTTCCACAAGTAGCATATATGGAAAAGAGATATCTATTAAAGATATCAAACCAGAAAAGCACTAAATGCTGATCTGCCTGGGAATGCTTTTCTGCTATTCTTTATTCTTTCCTGTCCTCCTGAAATGAGGCATATTCACAACTGTACATTCAAGGAATACAAAACAATGGCAAGGGGTTTTAATTCACAGATATGAGAGAATTTTTTTCTTTTTTAACCTTTGCAAAAGGGGAAGTTTTACTTTCTTTGGAAGTAAACTTCCTGTATTCCTTTCCTCTTAATGGAAAGTATCTTCTAAAATAAACCTCAAAATGCTAACTAATTCGTACACACACAGTTGCTGGTAACTCATTATTTTAATCTACCAGTGGCAGTTGATGGGCTGAGAAGGGCAGGGGCAATAACATTAAGATTCAGGTTCAACACCTCTACTGTCCTTCACCTTCTAATATATATAATATATGAAAGTTTGTTGGGATCAAAAATACAGGTAAAATTTTTTACTGGTGCTGGTTTGATGGCCCCATAATAGTACCATGCATCCCACAGAGCCCAGCTTCCGTTTCAGCCTCAGGAATGCAAGTCTTTATTTACACAGTAGTTTCTCCTTTTGGGTTTATCAGAAGAAAGATGACAGACTTTAAAATACTCTTTCCATTAGCACAGCAAGGCACATTTATGTAGAGATGATGTATCAAAACAGGAAAAACGTAAGTTGAAATATAAAAGAGGAAATAATTATTAATAGAATATGAATAAGTTTTTAATAGAGGTGTTTTTGTAACAGGCACAGCATCAGTATAAAATAATTTGCTAAGGAAGTATTATATTGCACAGATCATGTAATATGAATGTTGGCATGAATTTACTACGTATTCCCTACCAACATACTATATATTAATCATATTTATTTTAAGTGTATAATTTCTAGATTTATTCAATAATAAACACACATGCAGTTGTAGAGTCCCTTGGTATAGCATTGCAACTGCTTGCACAAATTCCTACTTTAAAGGGGATTTTAATAAAATCACATGTTCCCTTCCTACCAATTTTATGTTGAGCTTAGCTTATTCTAGCTGGTTTTCCTTTTTAGATAATTATGCTCAGCTTGCGCAGTAAATGCTAAAATACCCACATTAGAGTTTCATTTATGCAGTAGAATGACCTTGGTATGAAAGATAATTACTTCAACTGAGGGGTGTGGGCAGTGTCTCTGAATAGTCCACAACAACAGGAACAACCTGCTGTCCAGACTGATGTAAGTGCCTTCTACCTACCCTCACAGAGATCCCCATCCCCTTACCCTCATCTCCTCAAATCAGGAATCATGTTCATCCATACATCTGTCTCCCACCATGTTCATCAGCTCATTTCCCCGTGGTTGCTGGTAGGGATGCACAGGGGTTCCCCAGGGTTCAGGTAAATACCACCATGTAAAATAAACAGGCAGCATCTTTCACTGTACTGCTCAGAAAGGGCTGGTATGCAACCAGTGACAGACACCACAGGTGGGGATCCTCTGTTCTAATCTTGTCTCTAACCTTGAAAGAGGTCTAATTATTAAAGACTTGTGATACAAAAGACTAACTTCAGAATGAAAAATATTTTTACCTGGATTCTTTCTGTTGCTGTAGGCCACAACTGTCTACATAAGACCTTCTTGAGAACATCCGGAAGAAGGCTGACAGTTATGAGCAGAATTATACCCAGCCACGCAGGACCACTAGACAGCATTTGCATGAACACATAATACATCCTCTGATAATTGAGAAAAGGCCTAGTAGGAAAAAGATTAAATAGATATTATACTTCAATACACAAAAGAAAGATTAGCAATGTTAAATATAAAAATTATGACAGTGATGAAATATTTCAGGTTCAGCTTCCCAGTTTGTGGGAAGAAATCCCAGCTTTCTCAAATGGAGATCTAAACCTTTACTGACTAGAGAGAACTTTCTTCTTGTCTTCCAGGCTGCAGAAAATACAATGCTGTCTTCCATGCTGCCTCTCCCTTGCAAAGATAAACAAAGTTACAGTCTTATCCTGTTTGTGATCTTACATCAACTCCTTATTTTGCCCTAGATATCTTCTATTTTTCTTCTCAGTGTCACCCATCACTTCCTTCCTCTTTTCCAATCCACACTAGTTTGTATGTATCCTCAGAGTAAGGCTCGTTGACCACACCTTTCTCCATATTTCTCAAGCTCCCCTAAGTATCTCCGATGGTTTCATGGTATGCTCCTTTACCTATTCACCATATTTGTATCTGCCTCCACTTTCACTGCCTTCTTTTCTCTCTCCCTGTATCTACATGACAGTTGCAGGGTCATTAAAATGCCATCACTGGACAGCATAGGCATGACCGACTCTTTAACATTTTTCCTCAGATGGACAACCTCAGCTCCTTGAACCAACTCTTGGACTGCTTTTGACTGACACTACTAAGATTGCTCCAGTGGCAGACCGAGGTCTGATATTCTTCTCCTCATACACTTCTCTAAGAATATTTTAGCAGCCATTCAGTGAAAGAAGAGCTGAGTATTCTGTAATTACTGATGTATCTAAAATGTGACTGCTACTGGGAGTTCTGCAATACATAAAAGCTGAATTTAATTCTGTTTGGGACCAAAAAAAATGAAATACATAACAACTTTATGTTTCTGAAATAACATCTGTAATGCAATTTCTATTAGGGTTCATACCAAATAATTCCTCCCCAGAGCAGAGAAAAGATAATGTAGAATAGCAGTGATCCCCAGATCACGAAGTGATTTATCCACGTCCAATAGTGTGTATCTAATGCAAGCTGAAAAAAAAAAAAAAAAAAACCAAACCAAAATATTAAACAGTGTTATTTCTATCTAGAAGCAACAGAATATTCAGCAGAAGATGAACTAAGATGACACCCTTTGGAAAAAGAGAAGGACTCTACACAAAATTAGCTAAAAGAAGTATTTCAATTTTGACCACAGTCAAGAAGGCACAAAGAACAAAATCTGTATTTAAATTAATACCCTCCAACGCATGGTCATAGAGAGAAACTAGTATTAGTAAGCAGCAATTAGAAAACAAGCTCTAAGAAAGTTTCAATGGATAACATACAGCATATCTTACCTTTAAGGTAACCGTGAATACAAGCACAGTAAACACCAGTGTTCCAAAGGTCCAGTTTCCAAACATCTATAAAAAATGGTCCAAAGCAGTTATAGGTAGTATCATCCACTACTTCATGAATTGTCCAGAATAAACCTCCTAGAGCCATGTACTGCTTTTTATCAGGAATTGACACTTCAGCAACAATATTGAATTCTTACATGACCTATGCAGTGCAAGTTGTTTTGGTTTCTCACCCTTGTGTGTACACACCTCAGTTTTCATACAGACAGGAAAAAACCCACAATCAATGTACTCAACCTAAAGTTCACAGGTGTTTCTTAATAAAAATGAAGTGTAGCACAGTTGACAAATCACCGAGATTTACAAACAAACTGCAGTAATCTCATCTATCTTCTTGGCCATCACCTTTTCTCTGTCTCCCTTCTCTGCTGTCCTTGGTGTCCCACAATTTCTTGGAGGTTTAACAGCACGTTATACAGACGAGTAATAGTACAAGAAGGAATATGATAACCATCAAAGCCATGTAAGTACATAGATGTTCTACATACATTTTAAGATAAAACACTTTTGAATTGTGGTTGGTTTTCTCCCCATCTGCATCATTAAATAAAAGCACTCATTTTCAAGTGGGCAGAAATGATCATTAATGCTGACAGAGGGAAGAACTGGTGGAGAATATGGTCACAGGATTACTTGGACTGCAGCAGCTATGAGATGACCAATTTCAGGATCCAGAGGAATGTTGGGAAAGTAAGCAACAGAGTTAGGACACTGTATTTTACGAGAAGAGACTTTGTTTATTCAGAGCATTGCACCCATGAAAGAGAAGGGTGCCCAAGAGAGCTGAATTACTTTGAAAGAGAAAACTGCTGAGATCTTATGAACTCTTTCTGCAGGAAGACATGAAATTTCATCAGAAGACACAGCTACCCAAGTATGAATGAACAAAAAGGGCAAATGGGAGCATACAAGAGATGACAATATGGGCAGACAGCAAAGAGGTAGCATAGAAGCATTACTTGTGTACAGAGGAACAAAATCATAAAGACAAAGCTCAGCTCAAACTAAGATTAATGAGGGGTGTTGAGGGTGACAAAAAGGGTATTTACAGGTATCCTTGTGTGGTAGCTTAACACGGTCCGAC